AGCAAGCTGCAAGAGGCACACTCGAGAGTAAAATCTCTTGAAGATGCACTTTCAAAGGCGGAAAATGATTTTGCTGAACTGGATAGTGAAAAGAAAGCTGCTGAACAGGAAATATCAACATTAAGTTCCAAACTTAATACCTGTTTAGAGGAGTTGGCTGGAACTCATGGTAGCTTGGAAAGCAGGTCCTTGGAGCTTTTTGATCACCTTAAAGGACTTGAACTGCTTGGGGAAGATGAGACTTTACTCTCTTCTCTGAGAATATTTTGCGAGTCAAAATTTGAAAGCCTCAAAGAGATGGAAAACTTCTTCAATATCATCAGGGGTCAATGTGCTAAGTTGAGTCCAGAAAATTATCCCGTCTCTGAGGTAACATGCAATCATATGCTTATAATTGTTAATCTTTAATTTGCATTTGCATTCACCTGCGTCATACCAGATATTCTCTTCTCATTATCTCTCTCTCTCTCTCTCTCTCTCTCTCCCCTTAACTTTGGATTTTTTTACCATCCTTTATACCCTCCTCGCTGGTTACCATTATCGTTTGGAGTTTGGACACATTGTCACATATGTGTTAATTGACCATGTTTTAAGGAACCTCCTCCCCCTCTCAACCTTTTGAATCCTGTTGTGAAGCTAAAGGTTGATTCCAAAAACATTGAAGTAAATTCCTTCACATTTTCAAGCTTCATATCATATTTTAAGTTTCTTGATTGCAAGTTTCCAGGTTTTAGCTGATCTTCCATTGGTGTTTCTTAAGGAAGCTTATTGTTAGTTTTTCACTTGTCTGTTTTATCAGGAACCCTCTTGCCTGTCAAAGTTGTTTTCAGTCAGCCTTGATGAAATTGTCAGTTTGAATAGTGTTAGCGGTCATGCAGATGCAGTAGAGGGTAGTGATATTTCCTTATATGTTCAGAAGATAGCGGAAAGCTTTCATATGAGAAAAAGGACCTTCTCTGAGAAAGTTGATGGTTTTTCTTCCTTTTTGAGTGAATGTGATACTTCTATTGTGCGAGAATTACAGTCTACAAGCAAACTGATAACATCTATGGCTGAGGAGCTACAATTCCTGGACCAGAAGGTGAAAAGTATGGAAACAGATTATCAAGCTCTAGAAAATAAAGTGGTCCCTCTGGAAGATGATGTTTCACTTTTGCTGTCTGCTTGTACTGAAGCTACACAAGTGTTGCAATCTGAAGTTGACAAACAAATGGCAGAAATAACTACATCTTGTGATCATGTAGAAAACGAGCCAAAGTTTAGTGAAAACAAGCACGTGAAAGCTACTGAGATGCTGTTATTTGCTACCAGAAAAGCTTGTGGTGTGTGCAAGCAGTTGGAGAATTCAAGGAACGAATTTTCGTCAAAAGTCGAGGAATTGCAGGATAGTTTGAATGAATTGAAAATAGTTGCTGACAAGAGTCTGGAGGAACGGGATCTATCCAATACGAAGGTCCGTGAATTGGAGACTAATTTAGCTGAACTACAAAATACATGCAACGAGCTAAAGATTAAGATGGAAAATAATCAAGAACTTGAGGCTAGCTTGAGGGAGAAAGATGTTGAGATATCATCATTGCAGAGCAGTTTGCTAATGAAAGAGAAAGGTGAGCATATTCTTGTATATATACTCGTCTCTTCCCTCAAAATTTGTCCACCTAATATTTGGAGGACTTGTAATATTGTGAGCTTTTGCATAATTAGTATCTTACTTCATTATTTATGTCTTCGATTTCAGAGGCAGGAGAGGCACTTTATTGGGCATCTCATGTGGAGAATCTTGTGAGTAGAACAAATGGGATAGATGTATTAATGGAAGATTCTCAGGGTGGGGACTTGGAGCCTCAGGATTCATCCCAAATAAAGAAGCTGCTGTATGTAGTTGATACCTTTCCTGAGTTGCAACATCAAATTGAATTGCTTTCCCATGAAAAAGAGGAACTGCAGACTGCCCTTACAGATCAACTTCATGAAATAGAACATCTGAAGGAAAGAATTCAAGAAAGCATTGGCCATGAGCAAGAATTGGCGATTGTTAGGAGCAAAGTTATAAACATGGAATCTGGGCTTGACAGAATTATTCAGAAGTTTGCCACCAGAGATATAATTGGGGACCCTCTTTCTACAGATGATATTTTACAGGTAATAGAAGAGCAGGTAGTGACGACAATCTCCAATTCTGAAAATTTGAAAACCAAGGTTCATGAACTTGAATTAGAGGTTAAAAAGAGCATCAATTCTGAGCAAGAATTAGCAAAGCTTAAAGAGCAATTACTTGATCTGGAGGCAGGTGTGCAAAGAATTATCAAGAATTTGGGAGGTGATGAAATTGATAACTTGAAGCCTCTTGCTACAAGTGATCTTATACAAGTTCTGGAGAAGATGGTAATGGCGTTAACTTTGGAATGTGAAAAATTGAAAGCTAAAGACCATGAACTTGGCTCAGAGATCTGGAAGGACAGTGATGAGCTAGAGTTGGCTGAGGTCAAGGGTCAGTTAGTTGATCTTGAATCAGGTTTGCAGAGGATCATCCATAAAATCAGAGGCAATGCAATTGGGGACCAGGGGACAATCCCTACAAGGGATCTCTTACAATTGTTAGAAAAGATGGTAGTGGCTATAATTACGGAGTCTGAAAATTCTAAATCTGAAGTCCATGAACTTGATTCAAAGTTGTATGGAAGTCAAAAAGCTGTGGATGAATTGTTATTGAAGGTGAAAGAACTTGAAGATCTACTTCAATCTAGGGTAGTTCCCCCTGATACAATCCAGGAAAGGAGCCTTTTTGAAGCAACTTCACAACCCTCAGCATCTGAGATTTCTGAAATTGAAGATGTGGTAATTACCTACTTAACATTCTGTATCTTATGTCTTTTTGGTTACATAAATTATTAATGTGTCATGAGTTAGAAGGTTTTGGATAGCTTTGTGCACTGGGGTTGCTTATATAGCTTTTGACTATTAAGGCATTACATGTATTTCTTGGTTAGTTATTCTAAATTTCGAAATTTAGTTGGGTATCCTCCAATAGTTTTCATATAAAAGTCTTAAAGTCTGATTCTAAGTTTCTGTCTTTGTTACTCTATCAGATTTCATGTGTTTTGGTGTATATATCATTGTTCGTTTCTGGAGAGTGTGCTAGTGTAACTGTGATATTGCTGCATAGAAGTTTGGCATGTTTAACTATTGTTGTATATGTGCCGGCCACCGACTGGTGTATGACTGTAGGAGTTCCTTTTTTTTTATTTTTTATTTTTTTTTCAGGGTTCCATATCAAAAGCTACAATTTCTCCTGTCCCATCCTCTACTCATGTAAGAACATTGCGGAAGGGGTCAAGTGATCATATTGCTGTAAATATTGATTCAGAATCAAGTCGACTGTTGGATAATGAACCAGTTGAGGATAAAGGTCAGTATAATAATGGGCTGAGAACTTTCTGGTTTACAGTTTTCTTACAATTTTTGGGATGCTTAAATTTCACATCTTTTTTTTCAGGTCATGTCTTCAAGTCTCTTAACACATCAGGTCTTGTTCCAATACAAGGAAAGATATTAGCTGATCGGATTGATGGAATCTGGTAAGCTTTTATCTCATCTTGAATCTTATTATATGTGACGTGTCAATGTTCAGTACATACGTGTTCAATTTTATAAGTTATAGGACAAGGGAATGAAATGAAATGAACTGGTGAGTGAAACATATGTACCAAACTTTCAAAAGTGCACAACACGGGCTTAAGATGGAGTTTAGGGAATAGATTTACTAAACGTAGTAGTAGCAAATGAAGAAATGACGTACTCTGATTCTGTATTGAAACAAACTGTGTTTCTACTTCATGAGTAGAATGTACCAGACAATTTTGTGAAACATAAGATTGCATTTCAAAGCCGGATATATTCCAGCAACTATCAAGGCTTCTCATCCATGTTTTAGATGGATACGTTTTTTATCAAACCGGCCTAGGGAAGCTAATGTTATGCCTTCATTTTGTCAACCAATATGATAAGTAGCCAAAGCCTCCCATCTTAAGTAACTTGATAATCGTTTAGAGTCATATCTCATTTGTTACCCCGGTACTAATTCTTCATTTCCAATTCATGCAGGGTATCTGGTGGTCGATTGTTAATGAGTCGGCCACGAGCTCGTCTTGGGTTTATTGCATATTGGCTCTTTTTGCACATATGGTTACTGGGAACCATTTTGTAATGAAGTTTGGCTGTAGGGATAGATTTCTAGGCCACACGCAACAGCAATACTATTGATACTTTAGAATTGTATTAGATTATAGATATAGACATATAGTGTTATCTACTAAATTAATTTTGTTGATGTTAATAGTAATATATTATTCATTTATTCATTTTCACTTTTTTAATAATAATGTTTTCTGTCCTGGTAGAACAATAATGTTACAAAGAGATTTCTAATTTCTATGTCTTCATCAAGGCCCATAGTCCCCATACTGCTATGATCAAGAATTCCATGGATGTTGCCTATTTGCCAAAAATGCTCTACGGGTGACTTATTTATCAACTTTACCACTAATGTCAAATTAAAATAGCCAATATTTTTACCTTGTGCGAAAACTGAAAAAGAATTTCACCCTTGTGGCTCTAAACACCTAAAAGAAAAAAAAGCTGAAACAAACTGAAAGGATTTAAAATTAACTTCATGCTGGTTTTCAAAAAAAATAAATAAATAAATAAAAATAAAACTTCATGCTATATTGCATAATAATTAGATGGCCAGTATAATAAGATTGATTAATCGTCAATATGATCAAGGCAATTACTATTAACTTTTTGAATCAAAATCACTATTGCATGTTCTTGAATCTTGATCCCTCTAAGTATCCATTCTATTTAAATTGTAACATGTTGACATTTACACCATTAGCAAGTATAATAAAGACATAATATAAAATAAAACGGAGGGAGTAATTTATTACTTGAGTAAAAATAATTTGTAATTATCGTGATAAGTTGTTAAATAAACAATCGCAAAAAGTTGACATCTTTTAAACATTTTATCAAGGAGATTAAACAAAGGGAAAAAAAAAAAGTCAGTTTGCTTCTTCAATTTGGCAATTCTGTACTGTATGTGCTGCTGCTTGTTGAAGAACTGACGATAAAATGGGATTGCTCACTGCAAATTATTGGAGGTGGAGGATTGCAGCTAACTTCTTATCCAACAAAACCCACATCAGTAATACTCTTCTATTCAATTAATATTCTTCAAATTTCTTCAATTTCCTATCTTAATTACCTAATTGCTTACAGAAATTTGTAAATTAGTGAATACCCACTATTGTTTTAGTTTCATTTTTGTAATTTGAGATACTATTTGGTTAATTTTATTGCTTTAATTTTACATCGTTGAATATTGGGCTTTATTTGTTCAGATGGAAACACTTTTGGCCTCACCCAGCTAAACCCTGTAAGATTATTACCATGAAATTAGAAGTTTTAATCTTGATTTTGGGATGATGATTTTGGATGGGGTTTGTAGTTCTTATGTGCTTCAATTTTGATCCTGTGAAGTAGGAATTTGGAGGTAGGATAGTGGCTTTCGCAGGCCGAAAATCAGCCAAGAAACTGAAGAGAATTAAGGAACAGCAAAGTGAGGTGAAATTGGATAGTAGTAAGAATTCATTCAATGATGATAATGGGGAGAAAGATAGTGTCCCTTCAAAGATTGATACCATCAATGATGATTTTGCCTTGGTGAATGAGAGAAGTGAGCTTAATTTAGTTACTAATGATGTTCCTTCAAGGGGCACTGTTCTTCGAGCCTGTACCGTGACTTCTGGGCTGATAGCGGCTCTAGGCTTGGCGATTCGGGAGGTTAGTTTGATTACTATCCTGGTCCATATTTTAGCTAGTCCAAGAATTCTCTTTATCTAAGACAGTTTGATAATTGTTTGATGCATTAACTTCGATATTTTACATACATCCAAATTCTAATTAGAAGTTACCGTTGTTATGTGGTATCATTTACTACCTGCGTTGATTTTTATTTGCAGCAAAAGGATCTTTTGTCTCACAAATAATATTTCTTTGTTTAAGAAAATAAGAACCGGAGGTAGTATATGTTAGAGTGGTTTGATCACCAAGGAAATTTTGTGTAACAAGTTTCCTAATCCAACAAGTGTTGATGGCAAGCTTGCAGGTATCTCAAATTGCATCTTCAAGAGGATTGCCTGTCTTTGACTGCTCCCAAGTATCATGTATGAGCTACTGCTTTTTCCCAAGTTTCATTTCCATATCTCTCTATTAACATCTTTTACAGAATTGACACTGTGCATTGCAATTGGGCTTCTGCATATTAGTATAGCAAAGTGATGAAATCACATATAATACTCCGTTTGTATTTATCTTGAGGCTTAATTGGAGGGACTGAACCAATGTTTAATTTGAAATTTTGAAGTGATCTTTCTTGGTTTTGTAAGTGGCAAACTCATAAATAGTGATCTATTCTTACCTCTTAGCAAGTCTTGTAGATAATAAGATTCACTGATTTATTCTTGGAGGTATACCGAAGTACCAGTAACTCAAGAAGTGTACTTAAAAATCCTGGTACCTCATCATTGTGCTTGAATTATGTTAATAAGAAGAATTGATGGTGTTGTTCATTATGGTTCTATTTTGTGTGTGTGTGCTTTTTTTTCTGATTCAAATGCTCGTCAATTGATATCCTCTGCGAAAAGCTTACTTGTAAGTTACTATATACTTTGCTTTTATTGCTCTACCTCCTGTTTCAAACTACCTCCATGATAAGGTGCTGTATAAAGTGGATCTGTCATTACTAGGGGTCAATATTCCCAACTTTTATTAAGTCAAAGGATTGTCAAATTAATCTTTGTCTTCTCATACTGTTTCTGCTATTGTTCAGTTTGAGAGCATGAGAGTAACATATATTCTTTTCTCTTACAGTTGATTTCCAGGTATGGCATCTCGAGTTGGTTATTGGTTTGGTTGTGTTGATATCCTTGTCAAGGTATACATTACTGAAGATATGGCCTGATTTTTCCGAATCAAGTGAAGGAGCCAATAGACAGGTAAGTACAGTTTCCCTGGAGCGAAAAGGTCTAATTTCCGAATTATTTTTTCCTTAGCCACTCTTACAAATCATTTGTCTTTTTTTTTTTTTTTTTTTTTTTTTTTTTTTTTTTTTTGTGCTCTGTTAATGCAGGTCCTGACATCCCTAGAGGCATATGATTATCTGATTGTTGCTTTCCTTCCCGGGATTAGTGAGGTTAGCATAGAGTTTATAACCTGAATGAAATTTTGCATCTGATCATCAAATTGCCCTCATTCAACGGCCCAACAGTTTTCTAACTGACTGATGGGATGTCCAGGAGTTACTTTTCCGGGGTGGGCTGCTACCGCTTCTGGGGCTGAACTGGAAAAGTGCTTTGGCAGTTGCAGCTCTGTTTGGCGTTCTACACTTGGGAAGTGGTCGGAAATCATCCTTTGCTATTTGGTATTCTATTCCTCCCTTTTCATCAACAGACATCAGTCAGTCTTGTCTATGGATAATGCATCATATTTGGTTGCTTGCTTTAGTCAAATGATTGGCATTAGATGCACCTTTTGTTTTCAGGGCAACATTTGTAGGGTTTGCATATGGCTATGCTACAATCGTTTCTTCAAGCTTAGTTGTGCCAATGGCTTCTCATGCGCTGAATAATCTTGTTGGTGCCCTTCTATGGCAGCAAACATCAAGATCATCCAAACAAATATCGAGCTAGAAGCCTAGAATACTTTAATGTATATACATGAAAACAATGATTTCTGCATGTAAGCTGGCGATTTGTGGCTGTGTTAGCCTTTAATAGTTTAGTGATTACTGCCATTTAGATACACAATTTGGCATAAGGTGTGATAATTGACATCTGCAATGGTAAGTGTTTTCATATATATGAGTGATACTGAGTATGATCTGATAAATTTTCGAATTCCAAGTTCATTAGATGGCTTGATGAAGAAATAGAAATCTCTTTGTAACATTATTGTTCTACCAGGACAGAACACATTATTATTAAAGGCAGAAAAATGAATAAATGAATAATAACAAGTTTCCTAATCCAACAAGTATTGATGGCAACTTCGGAGCATTACATTTAGGCTTCTACATTGTAGTATACTAAAGTGGTGAAATCACATATGAACTATAATACTCCGTTTGTATTTATCTTGACAATTAATGGGAGGATTGCACCAATGTTTAATTTGTAAGCTGCAAAACTCGAAAACAGTGATTTGTTCTAACCTCATAGCATAAGGACTATGACGTCATACAGTCGTACTCTCATAGCTAAGTGTTATCATTTTATGCATTTTAAGAGTTAATGTGCGGACGAGAAAAAATCTGTCTTAGCTTGTACAAAAGGTTATGAATGTACAACCCTTACAAATTTGATTAGAATTGGGATACAATATTTTAATTTTAACCATGAGACTGACCATTAAATCACCATTCAAATTAACATCATGTCAAAAGTTTGCTTCTTAAAATCAAATTATCCAAAAGAAAAATAAGAAAAGTGATGATTATTTCAATTAGTTGATTATGCAACTATGCAGTTATGATAGAATGCGTATTTCATCAGGATGCACAACCTTACGACAAGTAGGACAAAGTGTGTTTGTCTTGCATGTTATACCAAGAAACTATGCTTAGAATACAAGTTGTTACCCTCTTTGAGTCGTTGTCCACCACAAAGAGTAAATTTTGATTCCATATTGGTGGTTCTATAATTTTGCCTGATGCTAAGGTCACCTCTATAAGCCTTTTATCGCTCTTTGTTTCTGTTGATGATCCTTCCATGCTAACGTAGTGCTGAACATTGCTCCCCTCCCAGTTCTAAGAAATTTTGGAATCGATTTTCATCATCCACGGCTCTTTTTTTTTTTTTTACAAAAAATAAATAAATAAATAAATAAAATAAATAAAAAACCTCCTTATATACTGTTTGTTCCCCTTTAATAGCAACATTTGATATTTTTTTTTTTTTTTGTGAAGGAGAGAGGCAAGCCCCTAGCAACGTTTGATATTATAAGAGAGATTGTAAATTTGTAATTATATAGTGTTAAGGATATGTTGCACAATCTCAACTCTCACGTCTCAACAAATAATAAATATCGTTTTCTATCTAAAAGTAAATTCTTTAGGATCATGTTAACCTAAATCAAAAAATATTTCTACTTTTAGTTTTAAAAAATACCTCTAATTATATCTCAATCTTTTGCAATTTTAAAAAAAATATTTCGTAGTAATTCTTTTTTTTTTTTTTTTTGAATAGCAAAAATATTTCATTAATTAAAAGTCATACGACATCTACAATAGAGATTCGACGCTAACAAATACATAAAATATTGAATCAAATAAAATTTTCCTTCATAAAAACTACGATCATCGAGTAAATCTTGCACTGTGAAACATCTCTTGCTTATATCGCAGGAAAATTCAGCCTTGTTGGAGAGACAATCTAACGATCTTTTGTAGCCGTGAGGATGTTTTTCTTCTGATTCATCTGTCTGTATTCGAAAACTTGATAACATTTTCACCAATGAAATAATTTCACGACAATCTTTAGATCTAATATTGTGGATGGATTCAAAACTAAGAAATTTCTCCCCCAAAAAGAGGAGATAAACCTTGTCTTTCGAAGGAGGTCGAAAAATCCCTTGTCTTTCGAAGGAGATCAGAAACCCTTCTTTTGAGGGAGAAAAGTTCCTCCCAAAAGGAGGAAGCATTATTATAAACCTACAAAAACTTTAAAGAAACAAGGATTGGAATTTTCCACCGATTAAAACCGATAAAAATCCCTTCAAAATTCAACAATGGAAGCTAGGATTTTGAAGAGAGGAGAAATATCTTATACTCAATAATTCTTGTTAAATTGTGGAACATAGAATGAAGTGTTCAATGTATGCCATTGATCATGTCTATAGGATTACAATAATATTCCTCAACGTGCTAAAGGGGAAAAAAGTATAAGTTACAAATAAGTACATCAAATTTACATAAAATAAATATAAAGTAGATCTCAGAAAAAATATCTTATAAGATTCGAACATTAAACCTCATGAATATAATATCACATTACTTACCATCTTAGTCAATAGTAATTTATGTCTTCTACACAATAAATGTATCTTTAAGTAAACACAACAATAAATAAAAGAATAGTTATGTAGCCTATAAATTCAAATTGAATAATGAGAATACATTCAACAATTCCAAGATAATAGAAAATTTTTCAATCTAATTTTTTTTTATTTTTATTAACATTATGTTTTGATTTTTTTTTATTTTTTATTTAAATAATAGCATTAAGGAATTGAACGGTTAAACCATTGACCACCTAAACATTATATTATGGTTTTAAATTTAAAAACCACTCAGCTTCTACCTAAAACATGATATATAAATTTATAATTACAACAAATATTGCTTATTAAATAAATCAAATCCTTTAATTTGAAGGACCCATTTTGTTGGGGCCCAGTTACATGTCCCATGTTGGACATGCAAAAAGTCGGGCCTGCTTCCCACCTGTCATACCGTTGCTTCTACCACACACCCTTTCCCTTCAATTTTCATCAACTTCCTCTACCAAGGTTAGTGCTGACAACAAATCAATATAAACCTAGTAAATTTGATTAAATTCATAAGCAAAAATTTAAAACAAAAATCCAAATTATAAAGCAAAATATTGTTTCGGATTTCTAGCCATCTACATAATAATTTTTTTTAAAAAAAAAAAATCCCAATTTGGAAAAATCCAGAGAAAAAACACATAATAAAAACATAAAAATTAGATAAAAACTAACTGAAAAGAGAGAAACAAAAACACTACTTGAGGAATGTGTGATTGACAAATAATCTTGCATGGGTTTGTGGGAAGTTTTCTCAGCATCCTTCCCCGAAGAAACAGTTCAAAAATGTGTGAGTTATTGTGATAGATAATCTTGCATTCAAATTCTCAATAAATATATTTGTTGAGAATTTAAATGCAAGATTATCTATCACTCCACTAGAGGATATACAAGGGGTTCAAGACTTCAAATTCTCAATAAATATGACAATATATTTGTTGAGAATTTAAATGCAAGGATTATCTATCACTCCACTAGAGGATATACAAGGGGTTCAAGACTATAAGTGGGTTCTTTGAATAAAGTCCCTTAAATTTTCTCAAGGAAAAAAATTATACTTCGTAATTAAAACACTACCAAAGTGTACCCACTAACCAACTTCTTTATTAGCATGTTGTAAATTCTATTCAAGTAGTGGTTGACGTATTCATAACTCCAATCACAACCAAAGTTTGAGCTTTTATCAGATCGATGATGCATTTGGTTGAGGAATAGCCTCTCATTGTTCAATTTACTTTTAATTTTTAAACATCCATTCTTCTTCCAAAATCAATGGCCTCCATTTTGTACATTAATTTATACATATTAGTGAGGGTATATATGTAAATACATATTTTGAAAGATAATAGTAAAAAAATGTACATATTAATAAGGGTATATATGTAAACATACATTTTAACGGATATAATAATATATAAATAAATAAATAAATAACTTGTACATTAAAATAAGGATATATATATTTAAATACACATTTTGAAAAGTATAATTAGCAACACACTATTCATAAGATTAATACTTCCTCCGTTTTTAAATATTTGCTCCACTTTTCATTTTCGGCCGTTTTTAAATACTTTATTTCCTTATTTGAAAAACTTTTACAATATTTAATTCATTACTAATGGACCCACCATAAATCATATTTTATTAATTTCATATTTTTTCTCCTTCAATTCTCTCAACTACTTTTGCTTTTTTTAATTTTTTTTCTTCTACCTACCCCATTACCTCAATATTTTATTACTTTCTCCAATTTCTCCTAAAACTCCGCGCATGGAGAAATGGAGCAAGTATTTAAAAATAGAGGAAGTAATGTATATTTAAATACACTTTAAAGGGTATAATTGACTGCACACTATTTATAAAAGTAATGTTGTACTTTTTATAAGGTAGAGAAGAACTTTGAATAATTTTTTTATTACTAAGGATATTTAGCAACGAAATTCGCACATAAAATGATAAAGTACGGAATATATGGTTTTAAAATAATAAGATGAGCTAAACATGGCCTTAACTGAGTACTTAAGGAAAGATATGTCAAAAACTTTTAATTAAACATAGCCTTAACTGAGTACTTTAAGGAAAGATATGCCAAAAACTTTTAATTTATAATTTTTGATAATCATTGAGAGTGTGGTTGCCAAAATTAGTTAATCTATGACTTCAGATTATTGATTGGTGGTCAGTGGACAATGGTAACCCACACCTGCCACGAAACGTCCAAACCACTATTTGTAAATTTTTGAATCCATCAACATTGACAGAACATTGAAGCTTATATTGAAGTGAAGATTTGAGGATGGGGAAAAACTCTTGCAGACTTATTTTTAATAATATTATTGTGGACCTAAGTTTTATACGTTCGTAATCAATATTATATTGAATATAGATAGTGACCTTTAATATTATTAATGTGAACCTGAGGTATAATGTTATATTGAGCATAATATCCAATAATTATTTGATTAAATGAGCAAATGATCCTGGGTATACGGTACACTCGGTGTATATAACAAATTTTCCCCATTGTAAATAGAAAAGGTATTGGGTGTAGACTGCCGCACGAAAATTTGCGTGCGGCAAGCTTGGCTGATATATTTCACTTGTTAGCTGATATGTTTTATGTGTTGGCTGATATGTTTCATTTGTTGGCAGATATGGTTTTTATGTTGGCTAATATATTCATTTTCTTAGCTGATATGTTTTTTTTTATAATTTTTGATATGTTTCTTTTGTTGGCTGCTATCAGACATCAGTTGGCTAATATGTTTCTTTAGTTGGCTGATATCATTATTTTGTTGGCTGATATGTATATTTTAATTGTTGGTTATATGTTTTATGTAGCTGACTGATATGTTTTTTTTTGTTGGCTTACATGTTGCTTTTATTTGTTGATTTCATCCTTTTGTTGGCTAATATGCTTCATTTGTTGGCTGATATGTTCCATCTATTGACTGATAAGTACCTTTTGTTGGCTGATATATTCCTCTTGTTAGTTGATATTTATCTTTTGTTGACTGATACGTTTTTATTAATGTCTAGTATGTCCCTAATGTTAACTGATATCGTATATTTTTATTTCATTCTCTCTCCTCTTTCACCTCTTCTTCTCTTTCTTGCTCTCTGTTTCAAATGAGTGTGGAGTTTCCCAATTATCTCCATATCCCCAAATAAACGAACTATGTGGAATTCCCCCCAACTGTCGCCCAATAGCCACCATCAAACCACCACCGCTGCTCCCCAATTGCTGCCCAACCCGCCACCATCACACCACCACCGCTGCTCCCCAACTGCCGATCACACCACCACCGCTGCCTCCCAATTGCACCCCCAAAATCGCACCTCCAAAATCGCACCATCACACCACCACCGCTGCACTCCCCCAATTGCACCTCCAACCAAAATCGCACCACCTTCAACCAAAATCGCCGCCCATAATCGCACCACCTCCAACCTAAATCGCAACCCAAACACCACCTCTAACCAAAACGCACAACCTGAGATCGCACCACTTGAAATCGCAGCCCAAGCGAATTCAAATCGTCATCTTCGTCCATCGTCATCTTCGTCCACATTCATCGCAAGTCGTACTTCGTCATCTTCGTTTTGAGGGTTGCCGCACGAACTGTTGGGTGCGGACTGCCGCACCCAATAGTTTGTGTTGTAAATATAGGTCAAATTAACTTAAAAAACTTTGATCATAAACTACTCTTAATCTATTAGAAATAACATAGTCGTATGGGATTTTTTTTTAATTTGGATTCATCTCATTGTATATTTTATATATTAAAATCTAGTTTTTATAATTTTTACAATTCAAGTATAAAAATAGAGATAAAAAAAAAATAGTTTCAAGACTTATTTTGGGGACCATGCATGAAAAGTCAAATGGAACAAAATATTAGGGACGGAATATATATATATATATATATATATATATATATTATATGGAGCTTTAAATAAGAATATAAAATCTTTCCATGCTTGGTCATTCAAAAGTCAATATAATAAACAAATTCCCTTAAGTTTACCATTTCCCAATTTTAGAATATTTTATATTGTTTTTCTTTAAATGAAACTAATAATGCATAGACAATTAGACATTTGTGATTTGTCAATCGTCATTTTTTTTTTGAAAATAAAAATGATTAATTCCTATACACCAAAATCTCTCAGAGTTGTCAACAAATAAAATAAAAATGATTAATTCCCATATTTGCAAGAACAAGAAGTAGCAAGAAAGCAACATGACTCACCTTAAAAAAAAAAAAAAAAGCTACGTGACAATTGACGCAGATTGCGTCACCCCCTTTCATATTCTTCCCACTAAATTTTTTTGGTGTTTAGAGAACCACAAGCAAAGGTGATGAGAATCGATCCCATCATCTCTTGGAATCAAAAGGGGAGTTCTTTCAACTTGAACTATCCTTCACTCTCGTATTCTTCCCACTGTATAAAGCAAAGTAAAATCATAAATCTCATTCATCTTCTATCCATAAATAAATGTGGCTTTCCTGTTCGACTGTTTGTATTTGATAACCCCTTCTATCTTTTCAGGCAAATAATGGTTTCAAGAAAAATATTTTTGTACATATTATTCTTATTTTTCTCAATTTTGCTGTCCACAAAAAGTAGTTCAACACAACCTCTTGTTCCAGGGCTTTATATATTTGGTGATTCAACATTGGATAATGGGAATAATAATTTATTGCCTACATTGGCTAAGGCTAATTATTTCCCATATGGTCTCGATTTTCCTGGAAGTTTACCAACGGGAAGATTTACTAATGGAAAAACCGTTGCCGATTTTATAGGTACGTATAACACAATTACTATGTGCGGTTTATCTAGTTTTAACGTAGTAGACACGAGAATTATAGTGAAATTTTTAACATCGGTTTTTTAGTTCTCGCTCCCTTGAAATTTATAAACAATTATGGTATTATTAATTAGAAATATGAATGTAAAATGAAACATATTCGAAATTCTTGCTATTGAGCTTAAATTGATTGGTTTGAGTATGCTATGTATGTAGCTGACTACCTTGGAGTGCCGTATCCTCCTCCACGAGTTAGCGTATTCCAGCCAATGTCGTATTTGGGGTATAACTACGCCTCTGGGTCTTGCGGAATTCTTCCTGAAACAGGAAAGTTTATTGTAAGCAATACATATGTTAACTCTTTTCACATAATAATTTAGTCTCTAAATTTAATTGATCATAAAAAGGGTATTAATAAGTAATACTACCTCGGTTTCTGAAAATTCGACTCACTTACTATTTATGTGGTCAAAAGAAAATAACTTTGACCGTATTTTATGATTTATACAATAGAAATAAATAAACATATGAGATTTTGCTAGATTCTCCTTATTATAAATTTTCTAAATATCAACTTTTTATAAGTTTCACTTATACATAACCGGAGATATTCATAGTCAAAGATGTTCATTGGAAACCGCGCAAATGTCAAGTGAGTCGAACTTTCAAAAACACAGGAAATATGATGTAATTTAAATTTGGGTGTGGTATAGTACGTGTTAACACTTTATAAACTTATACAGACTATATAAAAGATGTATTGGACGTAGTCACGTACTCTGTAGCACACAGTATACTACGGAGTACTCGGTAGTATACACCAATTAGTTACCCTAAACCCTGCCAAATGACAATTATACTCACTTTTTACTCGTTTATCGCTTTTGCTAATGAGCAAATGAGTAAAAAAAGGTGTGTAGGATGATTAATGGTGTCCTGATTGTGTCTTGCAATTATTTTGCTCATTCAATGTGATATACTGATATAGTGATATGGAACTTTGGCACGCATATTGGTATGTATTAACGTATATATATTTTTGCCATTTTAGGCCCAACTTATCTTCATTGTAGGTCTTAAATCAGGATAAGTTACTTTAGTTTTTTTTTTGGCTAATTTACATATATCTCAACTATGCGCTGAATATTAACGTAATACTAATATGCAATTAAGTATGAGTAACGAAAATATTTTGTCAACAAAAAAAATTAGACATCGTACATTATATTTGTCTCGATCCCAGAAGATTCTGGATTTGATTTTCATTACATGTCCTTGTGGCTCTCTAGACACCAAAAACAAAAAAAAAAAATTGTATTTGTCAATGCAATAACAATGATGCATACGTGTACAATACTACTATCTCTTATCCTACTCGATTAATGCCTTAGTGGTGATATAATTAAGTCAATCACATAGATAAAGTAAAAAAAAAATAAAAATCATACTTCGTTATCTTCCTACATCATACTCCCTCTGTTTCATAATGTTAGTCGCATATGAAATCAATCACATAAAATAAGAAAAGAAGAATATTTGGAATCTAACATTAAAGTACAAAATAATTTATAATTAGTTTACCTTATTTAACTTTTTTGATTTTTATTTTGGAAAAGCATTAGTCATATAATGCATAATTCAAGGTAGAGATTTCCTTACTTACAGCCATGTCATCAATCCACAACCAATTTATTCCAAAAAAATTAAATTAAAAATGGAACACATTCAATATGGATAGATCTTTTTGAAACACCCAAAATAGTACATGGGACTAACATTATAAAACAGAGGGAGTAATATGTATTAGAGATCATATATTCAAGATTTTACTTAGTTGCCATTTTTTTTTTTTTTTTTTAGGAGAAGAATTCTGACCGTACCTCAACCCACACAATTTTTTTGGTCTGGTATTTATGAGTCTAACATTTTAAGAGTGAGGGGAAAAGGGTAAGTGATCACCACCCTCAAAGTGTCTCGATCTAGTGAGTATACCCCAAATCTCAAGGTTAGAAGGTACAATCCATACCACTAGAGGACAATTATGATTCACTTAGCTTATTTGCGCATACATACCATGTAGAGTTTATTATTACCATGTTTTAAAAGTCCAACTAGTATATAGCCCGCGCGTTGCCCCAGATTGCTACTTTTTTTTAGTTGTACAACTGTTAATTTTTTAAAAGACATTTAATAGTTTATATGTATATGTTATCAATACTTTTGTAGTACAACATTAATTTGTGTGAAAGATTATAACATAAGTGACAATTAGTTAGATGATTAAACAATGACTTTTCTTCTAAGAGGTTGTGTGTTCAAACCTCATCATCCATACTTCCTCCGTTCTTTTTTTTATTGCATCATAGGGGTTTTGGAGGCAAAATTTGGTAGTGGGAAAAAGTAAGAGAGAGAAACATAAAAATACAAAATTGTCCATGTAATGTAAAGATAAAATAAAAAGTAAGTGAGAAAAAAGTAAGGGTATGTTGGGTATTTGCAGTGTGAATATAGATATTTTTTGTCTTAAAATGGAAGTGATGCAATATTTGTAAAACTTTCCTAAAAGGCAAGTAATGCGATATTAAAAGAACGGAGGAAGTATATTTTTTTTTAATTTAGTTAAGGCATTATATAGTGTTATTGTTGGTTACGTGGGTGACGTGGCGTATTGAGGAATTAAGTTGGTCACATGAAATATTGAGGAATTGAGTATATGACATGGCGCAATGAGGAGTCTATGTGACACATAGACGTTTTTAGAAACGCCTTTTAATATACTAGTATAGATAGATTATATGTTTGTTCATTGACATATGAAGGAATTATATAAAGTATATAATTAATCGATTTAGCTACTCCTTCTATCCAAATTAGCTAAGTTGCTTTAACTTGTGGTTCACGAGCCTAGTTTGATCGAGTGTTATAAATTTATTAGTAGATAAGGGTAAATTTATACAGTGATTGTTTGTTTCAATAACATATGATGGAATTATATGTATATAATTATTTATTTATTTATTTATTTATTTATTTGGGTAAATAATTGATTTAATTCTTCTGTCCCAATTAGGTAAGCTACTAAAGCATGTGGTAGGTAGACTCGTAAGTCCTAGCCAAATTTTTTATGTTTCGTTTAGAACTTTAGATATACCTGGATGTATGTAAGTATTCTGATTTTTGTAGAGTTTTGAGGCTAGTTGATTTTGTTTACTCAAGTCAAGTATGTGCCTATTTGGGGAAATATAAGTGTTTGTTGCAAGACTAATAGTCCAATTGGATTTGGGTTGGAATTTGGTAAGTGCTATGGTAAAGTGAACTGGTAAGTCAAACTTGACCCAAAGAGTGTTTATGGGCTACAAGAAAGTGAGGCCCACACATTTTCATAAGTAAACAAAAAAGTGTGTATTAAAGAAAGTTCAGATGATTTATGTGTAGTGACTCTAATGTCTATCACAAACTTTCATATGTAGCTGGCTATACAATGTGGCTAGCCATATTTTTTTTTTAAAAGAATGGTCATGGTTACTTGGTCAATCAGGGGTTACTCACTCAATAGGGGTCACTCGGTTAGTCAGGGGTTACTCGATCGGTCAGCGTTACTCGGTCGGCAAGGATTATTGGTCATAGGTTATTCAATTAGGGTTAAATGTTCAAGGTTACTTGGTTAAGGGTTACTCGATCGGCTAGGATTTATCTGGTCAGGGGTTACTCGTGTGTTAGTTGGTCACACGGTGTGGCCAGCCACACACAAAACACGCTAAATGTCCATGCATGACACATGATTATCATATATTTTGTAAATTCAAACTTTCTAAAAGATTAAAAAAAAAAAAATTAAATCAATAGGTTATCATATTTGTACCTTTTTTTGTTGTTAATACACAACGAAAAAAAGTTATCGCATGAAATTTTGTCAAATTTGTTTTAGTTTATAATACAAAGTATTAATTTTTATTGATATACAAACAAAGTCGTAATTAAAGATAATTTATGTTTAAACATGCGTCTTTTATTTTACAGGGTGAATGCTTGAATTTAGATGAACAAATGAAAATGTTCAAAGAGACAGTTGAAAAACAGTTGTCCTCAAAATATAAAAACTCAGTCGAGCTTTCCCAACACATGGCCAAGTCTATTTTCATTTTCTCAGTGGGAAATAATGATTACATCAATACTTATTTTGGTCCTGTTCAGACAAGGAAACAATATAATCCTCAACAATTTGCACAACTCCTCGTTGATACACTATCACTAAAATTACAGGTTATCTTATCAATTTTACATAGATTATTTATTTTAAATTGTGTAGTAATGAGATTATAGCCGAGAAATACATTGTGTACGTACCAAAGTCTAAAATTTACATTTACTTGTCGTTAGTTTTAAATTATTGATTTATTGCATCATTTTAAAAGTTAGCTTTTCACAAATAATATTTGATACATAATTTTTGTTTTAAAAGTGCAGAAACTCTATAATTTCAGAGCAAGGAAGATTCTGGTGTTCGAACTAGGTCCAATTGGTTGCATTCCATCGATTGTTAAGAGTTCAAAACTAAATGGAAAATGCGATGAAATTAAAAATGAAATCGTGAATATGTTCAACACTCAACTTGGATTATTGCTCAAGAATTTAACTACTACTCTCCAAGACTCACATTTTATTTTAGGGAAAGCACATGGACTAGGATATGATGCTGTCATCAATCCCACAAAATATGGTATGCCAACATTTGTAAGCCTTTTTACATATTTCATATGCAATATAGTTTCAATGTGCTCAATAGACCAAGTATTATTGACGAAAACTATTTTAAAATGAATGGACCTCGAAGTGACTCATGTACACGTAATGTTGCAGGGTTAAGAGATAGTAGCAATCCGTGTTGCAATGCATGGGGAAATGGTACATTCTCGTGCATACCAGTGGAAGCACCATGCTTAGCACCCGACGAACACTACTTTTGGGATGGCTATCATCTAACTCAAGCAACATATTCTGTTATTGCATCTCAATGTATTAGTGGTTCTGATGTTTGTCTTCCTATGAATATCCAGCAGCTTGTTCAAGTTTAAGATACAATTTATGGCTTAATTAGCGAGTTATAATTGGACAAATAGGTCAAATTATTGATAGATATTAAATTAGCACATTTTCTATGATTATAAATCAAGGAAATAACGAGGTATATGATTTTTTCCTTAAACATGAGATTGAAGTTATTAGCGTTTTTGTTTAAAAAAAGAACAAGATTTTTCACCACCTAAATGTTTTATGATAAAAGAGAATCAAATGAAAAAATGCTGAAAATAATTTATTTTATTACTTATATGTTTTTTTAGAAGATTATTAACAATGTACATATCATATATAATAATTAAATTAAAGAGTAAAAATCAGCTAATAGATGTCATAATTGTAAAGCACATAATGTACTTAGATTTGATCTTACGTTAGTCAACTTTTATATATATATATAAATATATATATGTTTATACAAAACTCACAATGCAAGTGTTCGTCAGCCCTCAACACTCTTGAAGCTTCATTTTCATGAGAATGATAAACAACCAAATCCTCCTAACAAAAATCTTGTCATCAAATGTAAACTTAGTCACATTAGGTTGGTTTAATGGTTCTAACCAAGGAGTACTTTTTCCAAATTCATACAAAACAAACTTTCCCAAATACTATTGTATAGGAAACATTTCTCCACAAGCCATTCGATTTCTTGAGAAAATTCTTCTTCTACCCCCATTGACGAATCTAGCAAAATATGTGGATTTAAAATATCAAAATAAAGTTTAACAAAATATAAATAAATGTATTGATATAAATCATTAAAACATATAAATAAATTTTAATTGAGATATGAAACATTATTTATAAGAAACAAAAATGTATTTTATTAAAAAAATAATTACACTTTTATTTTGTTTTGTAAATCATTACGAAAGTATAATTACCTTTTTAATGCTCATAGAATTAATATGGTATTATAATATTTTTATATAATGTGTATACAAATTTAATTTTGTGTAATGTAACGATTTTATGACATGAAATTATTTATAAATTAACAAATTACGTGAAATTACATATATATTATATTGCACATAGTTAACAAATATAATTATATATATTAATAAACAACTCAAAATTTGCACATAATCATTATCATATTTAATAATTCAATATTAAATATGTTTTTTTTTTCATATTATAAATATTTTTAATAAGAATTTTTTATTAAAAATAAGTGGATCATCCCATTGCTTTGATTTTAGGTCCGTCTCTGTCATTCTTTCTCCATCTTCCTATTTCACTCCTTCAACATCATCTTCTTCCTCTCCCACTCCCTTTTCATCTCCTTCTTCTATTTCGAATTCTCCACCATTAGAATAATGTATAATTTGCTTTTATCATAACCAATTATTGAACCATTGACAAAGTTATAATTTTTTTTCAAATAAATTAGAGATTGTTTTTCTTTAGGTAAAAGCGGTAAAACTTCAAATTTGTCATTGAGTATATCATATTTGAAAAGTGAATCATACACAATTGAGCCACATAAAATCCCATCGTTCAACAAATAAAACCTCAAACCTTGAGTACATATACTTCCACTTTCTTTCTCGAAACTGAAAATTGATCAATGAGAATGTTGACCATCTCAAATCACGTTTGGTTGGGTTCAAAAATCAACTAATCATCAACAAGAGGGGATTGATTACAATAAAACTTTTGTTCCGATCGCTCAAACAAATTTTGTTTATCAAATGGTAAAATCGTAAATAAATCAACAACTTTTTAGTGAATATGAGACCTACAATTGTTGATATTATTACGAAAATACTATGCCGGCTAGACATTTTTGTAAATTTATTTACAATTTTTCCTCTTGATAAACGAATTTTGTTTACCAAGGTGATAAATTGGGGCTTCCTCGTTGTATCAATTGTATGTAGTAAGATTCATAGGGGTAAAGGAGAGATAATAAGGGTAATTTCAAGAGTCAAACGACTCCATTTTTATCCTCCAATCAAACTTGAATTTAGCTTGTTTTTTATTATATATTGGTGGTTTTGAAATCTGATTTATTTTAATAGTGATTAAATATGAGAATTGACAACCCTTGATTTAGGGATTTAAGGCAGATTTAATTTATGTACTGTGATTCTTCTCTAATTAATATATATATATATATATATATATATATATATATATATATATATATATATATATATATAATTGGTAAACGGACATATATAGAAACTTAAAGAGTCACATATCAATTTATCTATCGAGGAAGAGCGAAAATGGATGCCATATTTTTGTAAAGTAAAAAGGTTGGGGCAAAAATGACAGGTCTCAACCTGACTCGGTCCACTTAAAGTTTAATGTGACCCGGCCTCCCGACACCTAACCCTTTAAGAATTGACTTTTGGTGCAGACCATGCAGTGACACAGAAGACCGTCTTGCATCCTTAAGGTGCAAAGTTCGATTCATGTCAGTGACAAATGTCACCTAGAATACCAGGCGTTGACTGTACTCTCGGGACAACCAACCAAAGTCCTCCTCACAACCTTAGGTAATTTAAAAGGTCTTTTTTTTTTTTTTTTTTTTTTTTTTTTTACAAATTTTGTCTTAAAAGGTCTTATCTCATAAAAGCGTCCTTCAAAAAGATCCTTCTTTACAAATTTTTCTTGTATTTATCTTGAGGCTTAGGGTTGTTCAAATGTTTAACTTGATCTTTGGAAGTGATTTCGTTTTTTTGTTTTTTAAAAAATAAAATTAAGTGGCAAACTTTAAACTAGTGAACTATTCTAACCTCTTAACATAGTGTTATAGCTTATTGCCTTATAGAGCATAAAATCCACAAATTTATGCTTGGAGTTATATGATGTACTAGAAGCTCATGAAGTGCACTTAAAAATCATGAAACCTCCCATCTTTTTGCTTGAAGCATGTTAATAAGAATCGATGGTGTTGTTCTATCCTTATTACATGCTGCCTCACAAATCACAATTGAAAGTTTATCTGATTATTGGTTTCCTTAACTTCCTGGGATTATTGAGGTTGGTACAAAGAATATACTAGTAACTTGAATGAATTTTTGCATCTGATCATCAAATTACCCTCATACATCCAGGAATAACTTTTCAGGGGTGAGCTATTACTCCGCCAGTCCTCTCTCTTGATAATGTGTCATATATGGTTGCACCTTTTTTTCTTTTCAGGGCAACACTTGTAGGGTTTGTGTATAGCTATGCTACAATCGTCTATTCAAGCTTAGTTGTGCCAATGGCTTCTCGTTCACTGAATATATAATCTTGTTGTCGCCGTTCTATGGCAACAGACATCAAGATCATTTACACAAATATCGAGCTATAAGCCTAAAACTTTAATGTATATATATATACAAACTTACCATGCAAGTCACATATTTATGCATGTAACCAGGTGATTTGTGGTTGCGTTAGTGATTATTACCATCCAGGGGCGGAGCTAGAAGGGGACGAGTGGGGACACTTGTCCCCCCATTTTCAAAAAAAAAAATAAAAAAAAAAAAATTTAAAAAAAAAAAAAAAAAAACGCAATTACAGAGTGCTCTGTGCGACATTTGCAGCCAAACCCTAAGTCTTTCAATTTTTAATTTCTCTCTCTTCGATTCGCCCTCACCTCGCCAGAGTCGCCTGACGCTGTCCACCGTTCTCCGGCAGTTCGCAGCAGTGAGGCCAATGACGAGGTTCGACAGACGACAGCGCACAGCGGACAGCCTTCAATTCCGTTCGACAGTCACCAAAATTAAAAAAACCAAAGTCCTGTCTGTCGCTCGGTCGCTGCCTGCCAAACCCCTCATCGTCGTCGGTCGTCCGTCAGTCGCCAGTCGCCGCCTCGGTCATCTTCTGGTCTTCGCTGCATCTAAAGGTATGTCTTAACTCTTAAATATATTAATTTGTTCTTCTAATTGAAAATTTGAAATCCCCAATTTGCAATTTTAATTGTTAACCCAATAACCCTTTCTTTCTCCCCATACTTTACTTATTTTCTGAGGCTATATATTCTGAAAAGGGTATCGGAATTTGTGTCAAATATTGAAGGGGATTTGTTTTGGTCTTTAAATGGGGTTGGTGCTCCTGATTTGATCTTTATTTATGTGCCTGAAGGGTGCCGAGTTGATGCCCCTTTAAATTTGAGGTCTTTCTCACTGAAAGGGAGTGATGCCGAGTCGAATATGTTGCCGGTTTCGAACCCGAGAGTATTGGTGTTGATAGAAGGGAGGAGAGGTGGGTATAGTTGAGGTGTTTTTAGGTGGAGATGGTAACAAGTGTTATTGGACTAATTATGTTCTTGAGGTGATCATCGGTGAAGGAGCAACATTTAGCCATTTTTATGTACAAACACAATCTTTGGGAGCTGCCCATATTAAATGGACTTCCATTAGGCAAGTATATTTGGTTCTGCTTTTATTATGTTTTTGTTGATTAAGTGTCATTATGTGCAACACTTTAGATTTTGTGATATCCTTTGCTTATAATCCTGTTAGTGCATTATCATGTGATTGCTTATACTTCTATTCTTGTTGGTGCTTTGGTATATCAGAATTAAATACATTATAATGCAACTGTCTTCGCTTTTATATTATATCCATAATTTGTCCCCCCAATTTGAAAATCCTGGCTCCGCCAGTGTTACCATCCGATACTGTACTGTTGTGCCATTTTGTTATACAATTGGGGGCACAACCGCACAAGGTGTGGCAATTGACATCTGTAATGCTAATTTTTATCATTATATGCATTTTAAGGGTCGATGTGCAGACGAGATATATGGGCATAAATAATATGCCATGTACAAAAGGTTCTAACATATTTGATTAGAATTGGGAGACATTATTTTATTTTTAAACCATGAACTGACCAATAAATAACAATTCAAATTAACATCCTGCATGCCAAAAAGTTTGCTTCTTACAATCAAATTATCCAAAAAAAAAAAAAAAAAAAAAAAATGATGATTACCCCAATTAGTTATGCAACTACGCAGTTATAATACAATACTTGTATCATCAGGATGCACAACCCTACAACAAGTAGGACAAGTGTGTGCCTTGCATGTTATACCAAGAAACTATGCAAGCCTCATGAAGCTTGTGACCACATATCTTGATAACCCACACATCTAACACTTAGACCATCTCTCCTTTGTTCGTGGTTCTGTTCATCAACTCCCTCCAAGCAAATCGTGCACACGGGGCAATTCTCAATCACTTCTTTTACGTTCCGGTCCTTCTCCAAGAAACACGAGTAAAGTATTCAACTTGGTTTTGATGTTGATCAATCCCGCGAGCATCAGCCCCCCGCCTTTTTGGTTCTGACTCATAATCTTACAGTTGTTGAAGTTTTAAATTGTATGAGCAAGTATATCCTTCATCGGCAAGGAGACAGTGCCAATGAGACGATCTTTTTTCATGAGGCCTACGGCAGAAGAATATTTTTCTATGTTTATGACCTTGAACTTGAAGTTTTGGTTAGAATACAAGTTGCTTGTTACCTTCTTTGTCCACCACAAAGAATAAATTGTGGTTCCATATTGGGTTCGAACCACCATGCTTGTCAAGACGAGTCATGATTGTATTAGCCGGATCCATCTACACTACAGCGTAGGTACGCATTTGCTTATAAAGACTCAGTTTCCGGCTCCAATATGGTGTTTCTATAATTTTGCCTGATGCTAAGGTCACCTCTATAAGCCTTTTATCGCTCTTTGTTTTTGATGATGATCCTTCCATGCTAATTATGTAGTGTTGAACGTTGCTTATTAGAAGAATTTACCATTGGAGTTAATATATACGGAGTTTTCTGTTGCCCTCTAATTGCAACGTTTGATATTATTAGAGAGATTGTTAATTTGTAATTATATTGGGTTATTAAAAGATATGTTGCACACAATCTCACCAAAAAATAAAAAAGATATATATATTGCACAAAGAAAAGATAAAAAAAATATTGTGTTTAGGATATATCATACATTAAATATTGTTTTCTATCTAAAAGTAAATTCTTTAGGATTTTTTTTTTTTTTTACACAAATTCTTTAGGAATTAGGATACTTGTTAATCTAAATCAAACAATATCTCAAATTCTATTTTTTTTTACAAAAATCTCTAATTATATCTCAACTTTTTGCAATTTAAAAAAAAATAGTAATTCTTGTTAAATTGTGGAAAAATCGATAGAATGAAGTGTATGCAGTATGCCTTTGATCATGTCTATAAGGATTACTATAATAGCCCTCAATAGGGGTGAGCAAAGATCCAGGGTATTCAATACCGGATCCGAAACCGGTTAGGACCCGTCCGGTCTGGACCCAGAATTGGTCTCACCGGTTTCGGGACCGGGTCCAAAATTTCGGACCCAGTTGTAACCGGTTCCGGTTCCAAGTCCTAAAATTTGGACCCGGTACCCACTGGGTGCCCGGTTGTATATGATATAGTATGTGAATTGTTTGTGTTTTTAAGAAACTAAAGAGTTATGTACCGCCCATTTTAATTTCTAAGCCCAACTGCTTATAAAACTCTTAACCCACTATCAAACAAAACCTTAAAGTTTCTAGATTTTTCTCTCCGCTCTACAATACCGGTTACCCAACATATATTGTACAAAAAATATTTTAAAAAACAAAAATATGTTGAACGTAACTAATTAGTAAAATAAAATAAAAAAATATTAATATTTAATATAATTAAAATAGCTTAATGTATATAAAAATATAAGTATTAAATGCTAAAAGTAAAAATACACCAAAAAAAATATTATGATTTGTATCATATTTCAACACTTATATGTATAAGTGGGTACCCGGAATCGGAACCGGTACCCGGTGGAACCAATTCCAATTCCTAAATTTTAGGACCCGGTTGTACCGGTTCCAGTTCCGGTTCCAAATTTTAGGACCCGATCCCAACCAATTCCGGGTCCGGATCCTAAAATTTTGACCGGGTACCCGATTTGCTCACCCCTAGTCCTCAACGTGCTAAAGAATTTAACATAATTTACAAACAAGTAATTCAAATTTACATATAATAAAATAATAAATCTCCTATTCCACCACTTTTCTTTTCCCTCGTCAATTCTACGATTCATCATTTTACCATCATTGTATTAAACTTTAGGCCATTTTTTATATGTGGTTGACTACATCATATGGACAGGATTACTCGAGTTACTTGGTTAAAGGTTACTTGAGGGGTTCAGTCAGGGGTTCTCGATCAGAGGTTACTTGAGGGGTTCAGTCAGAGTTTCTCGATCAGAGATTACTTGAGGAGTTTAATTAGAGGTTATTCAAGGAGTTCAGTCAGGAGTTATCAGGTCAGGGGTTATTTGAGAGGTTACTCGAGCTTCTCTCAATCAAAAACTCAAGTTAAAATTTTAAAAGAGTTCAATAAGTAAAACTTCTCTCGACCAAACATACTCCCAAAAGCTTCTCCCTTACCAAACCGACCCACCGGCCACCACCACCTCCCTCCCTTCTAGAAGAGCATGTGCCAATCACGTTATACCAGACTATCAGATTTTTCAAAGGAATAAACATAAAATAACAATTAACAAACGTTGAAATTGACGTCTATGACCGTTGACTGTGTTCACTCAAAACACTCAGCAGACAAACAAAAAACAAAAAAAAAAAGAGGAGAGAGAATAATGGAAGCTGAAACATCTGATTTACAGCAACATCATTAGAGATATGAGTAATTTCAATTGTTAATAATAAGATTTATGAAAATGAAAGGATGTGCAGAATCTGGAGGTTGCCCAACTGACTATGTTGCTGTTTCTGTATCTTCCATTTCTCTTTTTCTGTATGCTCTAACTTTTCCCCTTTTATCAATTGCATCATTTTTGTATTAGTTGTAATTAGTTCATCAATTTTAATTTTAACCCTTTTAATAATATCATTTTTGCTTTAATGGGTCAATGATTCTTGCTTGTTTGTGCTAATTTAACTTAATTATATGAACCTGTAAAATGTGCTTCACTGAATACTGTTTTTGATTAGTTTTTTTCTGAGTTTTTTTGGGGGATTTTTGGTTAATTTTATGCTAAAAGTTGATGGGTTACTTATCAATTGGTTTGGTTATTGCTGGTTAATTTCTAGTCTCTAGGGTAATGCTACTTTGGACTATCCAATTTTTTCATTCAGTTAATAAAATTTATTGATCTTATCTGAAATTATTGTTAAATCTACTGTCTGTTGGGTGTATGTGTTGTCTTTGCTAGGTAGTGATAGTAATGTAGATAGGATTCGATCTGAGGTCTTGGGTACTGAACCATCCCCCAAGACTTTCATGAGTTGCCAAAGCTTTGAAGTTAGGCTTGCTATTATGTCTTGATGGCTTGGTAGTATGCTTGCTTATACTGTAAATATTTTTGCTTTCCTGTACAGGCTTCTTGCCCGTTCGGCATTCCCGTTCCTATATCACAAGCTGTCAATTCCAAAAGGCAGTGCATTTTGGGTCCCGGCTGTACAGATTCTTGCTAGCTTGGACCTTTTGGTATCGGTTGTGGTGAGGATGCATGTACATTGTGGTGAATTTTGCTAGATGTTTGATTCGCTACGTTTTTTCTAACTCGTAAGTTGTTTTGCACAATTCATCATAGATGTCAGTCAATTTGATCAGCATTGAAAGAAGGCAATGGTGGCAGTCTTGCTATATCTGGGCAGGTAGTATCCACTTTCATCATATGTTGAAGGAAAATTTGAAAAATACCACCATGTATTGTTCACGTTTTGTACAATACCACCTCAAGTTTTCTTTATTGTATATTACCACCTATGTTTTCTCAAAAACCTAAAAACTCTCACCACTTTTGCCCGACTCCCCTATATGACGTCACGGTGGGTCCCACTACCAATTGTTCCTCTCTTTTCCCTTGATTCTCACCTCTGTTCTTCCTTCTTCTTCCTTTTTGTCTAATTTTAATATCAATTAGGCGTTATTTAGGGGTTTTATTCGCTAATTTGTTCTTCAAGCCAAACGACAATGCAAAATCGAGGGTATAACTGGTTAATTAGGATGATTAGGGAAGAAGAAAGGTGAAATTCGAAGGAAAATTGGTTAGTAGGACCCACTGTGACGTCATATAAGGGAGTTGGGCAAAAATGGTGGGAGTTTTTTAGGTTTTTGAGAAAACTAGGTGGTATTATACTATAAAAAAAAAACTTGTGGTGGTATTGTACAAAATGTAAACAATACATGGTGGTATTTTTCAAATTTTCCTAAAATATATATGTTTGCTCAGCTTTGTGCAAATCTAACTTTCTTTGAGCTACTTGTCTGCAGTTTGGCTTGAAGGACCATTCGGATTTGGTTTATTGCTTAGCTGTCGCATAGTACAAGTCTACCATCTCTATTTCATTTTTGTCAAGTAAGTCTAACTTAAAAACATGAAATATTAAGTTTCTATGATAAAATCATAGGAGTATGAGATGGCCATGTAAACCCTCCTGTTTCCTTTGTACTCTTGTAGTGATGAATTAATTAGATAGGTTCTGATAAAAGCGTATTTTGGGTGTATTATCTTGCCAATTCAGGGATATAGCTTAACTTTCAGAATTCTCATGTCTCAGGAAGCGGTTACCACCTATAAGGTCACATATAATTCTCCCATTGGTTCTCCTCCCTTGGATTGCTGGAGCTGCTAGTAAGTGGACTGTTTTATTGACCAAATTTATTGCTTGTATTTCTCTGTTAATAGATCAAACATCTACCACCGTGGTCACTGGTCAGTATCAAGTATCAACACTACTTCGTACTACATATAGTCGTATATTCTAGTAAATGCGGGCTTGAATTCTGTTTTTGATAGTAGTCCCTCAAAAAAGGGAGGTTTATTTGCATATCAAGGACATTTGTGCCGTAAAATGTATCTCAAAATTCTAACAATTTCAGAGGAAAACAAATGAACATACGATACATGGAGTATGGCTTAGTGTGTGCTGTTGGTTGTAGGCTTGTAGTAACTCTTCCTTAATTTTTAAGGGTATTTAAGGTTGTTGCATCCTTGAGTAAGATGCTGATGGTGTCAAAGCCATTTTATCTGAAACTGAGTTTTATTTGTCACTGTTCTGCTCAACTTTTTCTTACTCTAATTCTTCTATGCATATTGGATTTTCTTGACGATTCTGCCATTATTAATTGATTAATTTTCAACACTGCGTATATTCTGGTGCAGTTATACAGCTGAAGAAACCATTGAACTATAGGTGTCAAATGTCTGCTCGGTGGGTCACTCCATCAATGGTCCTACACTCTGCATATGTTGTTATATTTGTTGGGTTGACAAGGTCCATTCAGCATGTGAATTTCAGATTTGATGAACTCAAAGACCTTTGGCGAGGAGTAGTTGTTTCTACAGTTTCTCTTGGTATGCTGCTTCTTCTTATCAAGCTTTTTCACTGGCTTACGATGTTCAGTGAGTGACACAGTTAACTAGATGGTACATATGCAGTGAGTGATACAGTTAACTGGATGATATGGCTGACTGTCTATTCCTACCTGAAATCACACAATTGATTTCCTTTTTATCTTATTATCTTGCTTGAATTTCAGTTTTCTGGGTGGTTGCGTATATTCTGAATGAAATTCATGAAGATGTTGAATGGCTTCGAGTTGGCTCCAGGTTTCTGCTTGCATTAATGGTATGCAACTTATTTTGCTCTGCTGGGCTGTTGGCTGTGACCATTTAAGTCTACATCTCATTTTAGCTGAAGCTCATCTTATAGTTTAGTCGACTAATGTTTTTCAGGCAAATCTTGTGGTCCACAGACAAGCATATTCATACTGGCATTCTTCTCTTATTCAAGCTCACAACCACTTCTCTCACAAATCAGCTTGAGGAAAAGGGAGGGCCCCAGATACGAAAGCATGGGTCAGGCTTTAGGCATTCCTGGCAATGAAATTCAGCTACAGAGGCAATCAATGGCCATTGACTGCAATGAACCTCTTGATAAGCTTCTTTTGGATAAAAGATTCCGACAATCCTTTATGGCTTTTGCTGACAGGTTTCTTTTCTTTAAGATCTCTTTTCTCTAAATTCTCCTCAAATTTTTCAAATTTCGACATAAATTAGATTACCTAGTTAATATTGGAGTACTCTATACTGCTGTACACATTGGCTATCCAAATAAAGCTATTGAGGTTCAAGGTGAATTATTATTGATTAATAAACAATGTAATTTTACCATTCTTTAATGCCGGTTTAGAGGACGATGAGTTTTAATATTTTTGAGCTGCAGTTGTTTGGCTGGGGAGAGTGTCCACTTTTATGAGGAAGTGCTGGAGCTTGGAAAATTACCTGCAGATGACACTGTAAGAAGAATCTATATGGCAAGGCACATTATTCAGAAATACATTGTTGCAGGTGAGTCAAGAAGATTATTCAGACTTCATCTATTAATCTGCTAGTAAAAAAATCAGTTAAATTGATGATAATGTGTGTTCGATTTTACATTCAGCGCATCACCAAAACGATCTTCGTTTTGTTAATCTTGTTAGTGCCAAAACGGTTGCTTATCCCTCTCAAGATATTCTTGTACACGTTTATACAAAAGCAACTATATTACTGTATTGTCTTGGCTAATTAAGAAATTTGCTATCTCAATTTTTTTTAATCCTGCTGGTAGCAAATATTTTCTTTTTAGGAAAATGAGTTTTCTCACATAAGCTCAGATAAATTTAATATAAGGCCTGTAAAGTTCAGTACCGTTTAGATATATTTCAGTTCGAGGCTAATTAGTTCAGTTGCACACAGGGCTATGATGTTCAAATAAATCCTATTAAAATCAAGGCTAAGAAGTTTACTCTAGATGAGTTTGGTTCAGGGATGAATAAGCTCTATAATTTAGATATCGAAGAGTTTTCATGTGAAGAAAACAAGGCCTATAGATCCATTGATATATATTTTTGAAATAGGAATTGTGCTGCAGTAATCTTCATTGTGTGCACAAGCTTTGATCTCCTGTTTATGTTGGTTGACCATAAGCCATAAGCATGTAGAATCCATCTGACCCTTCACTTGAGTTGAAATTAGATATTTATGGAGTTCATACACATTCTTGCTTGCTTTTGTTAACTTTATAATACGGGAAACTATTCAATGCCAGGGTCTCCTATGGAGGTGAACATATCCCACCGGACTCGTCAACAAATTTTAAATTCTGCTGATCTTGCTCACCCCGATTTATTCAAAACTGCTCTCAATGAGCTATTGCAATTGATAAAAACGGTATGATATTTCTTGCTTAGTTTTACAGCATTAAAATCCCACTGATACAGAAATACCTCTTCTGAACATGAGGGACTAAGTGACTAACCCCTTTTGAATTCCTTTTCGAAAGAACTTGGCAAGGGAATATTGGTCATCCATGTATTACATGAAGCTTCAAGAAGCTGGAGCAAAAGCTAATGGACATGATTTGGAGTTGGCTATGAGCTGGAACGTCACTCCAAGACTCAGCTATGTTCATGCCGCTGATGATCCATTTCACCAAGACAATCTTATGCCATCACAACAATCGTGATCAGGGTTGGATACTTTCCATATCTCGAGCCTCACAAATCAATGATATTGCCACATCTCCACCAACCTGATGATCCAGAATATCGAAGAGTAGAATGGTTGGGAACATGGATGGATCAAGCAGGCTTGTTGTAATCGCTGGTATTTTAAAAGTATATGGTGTGATATGAACCTCCTCTGAGAGTTATTGGAAAGGAGTTTCTGCATTTTTCTTATACAAGACCATGAGGTTAACTTTATTATTAACGTACATAATTCTTCTGAATGTAAGTAAATTTTGTCGATTCTTCTTGTATATCTGTGTTCTGTATTGCAGGCATGCAACATTTTGTTTATAGCATTGCTTGATTTATGTTATTGCTATACAATTCCAAATTTATAAAGTTTGGTATTCCCTCTTACATTTATCACTCCCTTTTATCATATTGGTATTGAACTCAGTCTCTTATGCAAAGTTTTACTCCTTTTGTAGCTATTTTAGTGCATCACTTCATTTTGCATAGTTCAATACTTTATTCATTTGATTACTATCATGCGAGTGGGTGAATAGTTAAATTAAAAATGCTAATAAAAAGGTAAGTGGATGAGTATTATATTCACAAATAAAGGGTGTGTGAATATGTATGAGGACCATTAGAATATTGAGAAAAATTAATGAGTGTACTAATTGAGACTAGAGGTGTCAATTTGGATGTTCGGATCAGGTCTGATGAGGTCGGGTCGGGTCGGGTTCATTTTTAAAATTGAGTCATATTAAATTATTGTATCCATGCGAGTCGAAATTTGAATCGAATATTTTTCGGGTCGATTTCGGATCAGGTCGGGTGTAGTTTTGACACCTCTAATTGAGACAACCTTATAATGAGTATTTACTATTTCTTTATAGTTGTAACACCTGTTACGACTACCCCATAGAAAATTATCATAGTTAATGGAAGGAGTACATGAGAATGGAAGAGTATCATACGTTGATCATATGGAGCAACTAATAAGACGGCGTTTACTTATTGAAGGGGACATAATTAAATGTATTGTATAGGTACCCATACTTAGCTACTTAATATAAGTAGATATCCCCCATGAAATTTTTAATAAGAATTTGTTCTCTTTAACCAACAATAAACCATGCTTCTAGCTTGCAATGACCTCCTTCTAACCCAACCTCTATGTATATCCCTTGTTTCATTCTTAGGCATCCTCTTCATCTTCAAACACACATTAAGTCTCCTCAAATGGACATGCATCTCCTTTCTTAGACCCCCAAAAGACCTCAAAAAATCTATGGTTCATGGGCACTAATCACTGGCTCTTCCGATGGCATCGGAAGAGCCTTCGCCTTTAAGCTCGCAGCTCATGGCCTCGACCTCATCCTTGTTAGTCGTAGAGCAACAAAATTTGAACATGTCGCTTGTGATATCAAACACAAGTTCCGTAACATAAACATCAAAGTGGTGGCAATAGATTTTTCAAGGGATATCATATGCTATAAAAGAGGTTAAGAGTGTTATTAAAGGGTTAGATGTTGGAGTTTTGGTTAATAATGTGGGAATAACATATCCAACAGCTATGTATTTTCATGAAATAGATGAAGATACATGGATGAAGATTTTGCGAGTAAATGTTGGATCTATAAATGGAGTTACTAAAGCAATTTTGCCTAATATGTTACAAAAAAGGAAAGGGGCAATTATAAATATTGGTTCAGGTGCTTCCATTGTTGTGCCTTCTCATCCTCTTTATGCCATTTATGCTGCTACTAAAGGGTAAGTGCAACTATTTAATTTTATAATTATATAACTGCCTTTTCCTTTTCTTTACTTTTATACTGTTTAATTTTATATATATTTTCTCCGTTCTTTTTTACTTAATTTAAAGATGGTATTGGGCCGGCACGAAAAAGCACGGTACGGTATAGCATGTTACTATTTACCTAAAATAGTATTATGCTTGAAATGTATGTCAAATCACGCGTCAATCAGCCGAGTATCATACTTTAGTATCTTGATTGATATTTAATTCTCTTATTTAACGCCTCAAAGGCGCTCGTTAATTTTTACCTTATTGTAAAACGAACAAAATATTTCATAGTAATATTTATTATTCATATTAATAACCTCGCTTGAATTTGAAATGGTTAATGAATACTTGGTAAAAAAGTTGGTTTGTCAGTGGTTACCCATCTATTTCATAGTAGTAATTAAGGATTTAAGATTGAATATTCTGATTACCAACCTTTCTAAAAATGAACTGTCAACATGTTAAAAATAGAAAATGACATACGCATTTGGACAAATTAAAATAGAACATGGAGTAGAAATTAGAAATGTTAACGTATACACAATCTACTAGAATTAGTAGCTACCTTACGTTCCAACTACAGCTGGGCATCGTGCCGTGTTGGGCCTGGATGATGACGGGTTGTGTCGTGTCGGGCCATCAAATGGCACATCCTAACCCACGGCACGGCACGGCACAGCCCACGTACCTGGTGGGCCGGGTCGTGCCGGGTCGCGAGCCAGTCCAATATTTTTATTATTAATTAAGTAATTTTATTATTAAATAATTAATTTTATTATTTTTATTACTATTATTTATAGTTTTTTATATTATTATGGTTCTTTTTATTATTTTTATTTTTATAATAATTCTTTTTATTGTTTTTATTTTTATTATTTATAGTTTTTTTTTAATTATTTTTATTATTATGGGTCGTGCTGGCTGGCCGTGTTGTGGGCCGTTCTGACGGGCCAAAAGTTCGTGTCGCCCGCGGGCTCGTGCCTAATTTTTATTTTTTTGTTCAAGGCACGGCCCACCCCTCGTTTCTCGTGCCGTGTCGGATCGCTACCATGTCTTGTCCATGCCACCCTCAGGCTAGCCCAACTCATGCCCAGCTCTAGTTCCAATGGAATTATGTCTAATTAATGCTCCAACTCTCAACTGCCAAATATTATTAAATGAGGATCCATTGAGAAATTGGCCTAACTTCCTCAACTGTGGCATGTTTTTATGCAACGTGTTTTGGATGTAATCATATACTCGTATTGATGTGTGGCAAAATCTAACCACACACCTTTCGAAGCGTTAGATAAAAAAAGTAAAATTGAAAATATTAAAGTAAATTAAACATTAAGATATGTAATTATGATATGCATTCCATTAATATTATTTGAAGCAATATATAGCTAACTAATTCGAAAGTACTCGTTAGCAAGATAGTTGATATATATACCCACATTATTATTATTACTGATCTGACTAGGTAATCTATCCACATAAAAATAATTGTAGTTTTTTTTTTTTGACGGGAAAAATAATTGTAGTTAATACAAGTAGTAATGATTAGAATTTATCGTTTGTTAAAACTCTAAAGGGATTGACATTGACAAGTTAGATGAAATTTAAATTGAATATAATAAGGTCACATCGTTATCAGAATACTTTTTATAAACAATTAATTTAATTAAATTTTTTTTTTTTTTCATATACATAAAAATAATTATAAATTAGGATAATCTTCTCTCGAGAACATTTTATTTATAGGGTGATGTGGGACCAAATTATACGTTGGGCAGCCCGAGAAGTCTTCATGTGGAGTACAAGAATAAGGGATCGATGTGCAATGCCAGGTACATAAAACAAAGTTATTGTAAACTTTAAAGTACAAATGTAGTACAGATATAGAATTATTACCTTGATTAACTAATTTGTGTTCAAAGGTACCATTGTATGTTGTAACCAAAATGACCTTAAATGTGGCATCCGTCTAGAGACCAACCTTGTTCATCCCCACGGCTGAGGATTATACGGCGGTTGCAGTCCGGCGTATTGGGTATGAAGCAAGGTGTACACCCTTTTGGGCACATTCACTTCAATGATACTTGGCTAGTTACCTTCCCAATAGTTGGCTTGATGCGTGGCGCCTCTCTATAGGCACACGAAGGAGATCATCAGCATAATTCAATAACAAATCTCTTAATCAAATTCTTTGATATCATCATATATAAATTAAATATAAAGGTATATTTTGAAGATAATAAATAAATTGTAACATAATGTTGTTTTGTATCCTCGTGTGGGGGTTTCTGTATCCGCGACCATTAACTCAGACTTTCGTCATTAAATTAAAGTCACTTTAATTTTATACAATATGGTACTCATACGTACTTATTAATATATTATTCACGAACAATAAGTTATTTATCACAAATTAGTTCTAGGGCTGATCACTTAGGATCTAGCTACTTATTACACAGGACAAAAGACGAGCATAGGAGCCACAACCCCAATAATTCCTGCTTTCAAAATCCACATGCTAGGTTTCCAATCTATAAGTTCAGCTGCATCTGTTCGATCTCACCAAGTAAGTAATACATAAACTATATATGACTAGTATACTAGCTACTGGGTAATACATATTTCCAAATTACAAAAAAAATTATGAACTTTTAGATCAACTAGGTTAGTTAGTTAAGATCTTGAGGGGTTGTACGGGATCAAATTTACTACTCTCTCCGTTTTTAAATAATTAACATATTTTACTTTTTTTTTTTTTTTTTTTTTTTTTTACAATATTCGTGTACTCCCTCTATTTCAGAATATCTGACACAGTCAACTTTACACACATGTCAATGCATTAGTTTGACTTTATTTTTATAATTAAATATTAATGAAAATTAATTTAAAAATTATATTAAGAACCTTTATATTAGTAAAAATTATGGTCAAACTTAAAAATAAATTCTATCATAAAATATATTTTTACATAGGTATTGATATAAAATTTCATTATATATGTCAACTTTAAAATATTTTTCATTAATATTTATTCATATATATCTAAGGTTAAATTATTGTATTGACACATGTGTTATGTTTGACTTTGTCAATTATTCGAAAATAAAGGGAATAACTTTATTGCATTTAACTAACTAATTGCCTTTAATGTTTTTATGTTCTCTCACAAAAATTTCATTTTCCTTCTCTACTAAAAATTGAAGCTGCTAAATCAGTAAATCACCTTGCATACTAGCTAGACAAAGATGACTAACACATGATTGTTGGCTTGTGTCGCGTGTTATGTACAAATTCCCTATCAGAAAAAAAAAAAAAACACCAAAATTGAAGCATTAATCATAACTATATATTTTCTCTAAATATCTGCACATCATCCTAAAAGGACTAAGGCTTTGTTGTTGTTGTTGCAATGTTTACAGAGGCACCCTTTTTTTATGGTACACGTGTCGCGATAAGCTCAATGTCCGGGGCCCTTTGCAAGGAGAAGCAGAATTTATCTCAGAAGTTAAAACCATTACACATTTACACATCTTAAGCATGACAATATTGTTTCCTTGAAAGGTTATTGTACCTTTCGTCGTGAGTGAATGTTGGTGTATAACTTTGTGGCTAA